TAATTCCGTAATGACACTTACGAGCCTACCTAACTATTAACATGTTTAAGCTTAAATACAGATTTTTGCTGTTGAAAGTAAATAACAAAACTCATTGTATCACGCATAATCTATACTGATAATCATTTAGATGCTTCATTTGGTTGTTTGTTTTGAAGCATGTGCAATTCATCGGTTGGGTTGATTTTTTCACTTCACTTTAATTGAGGTGCAAATTGACGTTTATGTGTCTCTTTGTTATTTATCAAGAAAATTTGTACTAAAACTTTGCAAAGAGGTACAAACATAAGATTCTAAAATGGGAGACTGTATAGTTTTTACATGGAAGCCAATTTGACTTTTTATATGATGTATGTGTTTAAAGTATTTCAGATTGTTTGTGAAGAAAATGGTTGCTGCAAACTTGTTGGATTGCAACCTGCAAGACTTAAGATAGTTGAATAGACTGCTGAAAGTGTTAAATATTTGTCTAGATACCGTTTGGTCCACACTGTCTTTGGTGTGCATTTTGGTGCCATCCATGTTGACTTCAATGTTCATGTGCACTAGAGTAGCTCTAAGTTCTTCACCAAATTAGAAGTGTAATTTGCTAATGAAAATGTAATTTCATAATCAATACTGTTGTCAGCACAACGGTCAACTTGAGGAGGGCTCCTCAGCAGGACCAGCCTTGGAAAATGTGCCAGATGAACCCTTTTCCCCTCTTATGTGGCGTGGTGTGAGATGTAAAGGGGAGTATTTTAATAAATAAATGTTGCATTCATGAATGCTTAACTTTAAACATAATAAGTAATAGTCTTTTATCTTCTGTTAGAATGCTATTTCAGTGAAGGTGGTAGTTAAGTGTTTTAATTTAACTTTTTTAAATCTTTGGTTCACCAATATATTTTCTTGATAAATAACAAAGAGACACATAAACGTCAATTTGCACCTCAATTAAAGTGAAGTGAAAAAATCAACCCAACCGATGAATTGCACATGCTTCAAATAAAACAACCAAATGAAGCATCTAAATGATTATCAGTATAGATTATGCGTGATACAATGAGTTTTGTTATTTACTTTCAACAGCAAAAATCTGTATTTAAGCTTAAACATGTTAATAGTTAGGTAGGCTCGTAAGTGTCATTACGGAATTATTCTCAAAGTTATGTTCTCACTAAGACCTTTTTAAGCTTTTTTTAAGAACCAAGTCCAAGTGAATAGAATTTATCAGAGGAGGAATATGTACCTGATTCTTACAGTCAATCAGACTAGTTCATGGGAAAGCACAGCAGGACGTTCAAAATATTTGCAACCCCAGAAGAACTTAATATTAAAATGTCCAACCCTAAGACTGCAGTCAACACAACACAGTGAAAACACTTGTAGGGAAATGAAGCAAGTACAAGTATCAGGAGTTTGGGCTAAAGCTCTTAATGGAAATACTGAAGACACGTCTGTTAAGGATAGTGCTGAAACTGGTGACGATCAGTACATCCAGTCTTTAAAGACATCCTCTTTAGTAAGTAATATAACCTACTGCTACATTTGTGGAAAACCAGTCAAAATGTACACGTCATTTAAAAAGTTTTGTCTCTCCACATGGGAATCAAGAAAAGAAATGTTGGAATTAGCGTATAACACATGATCAACTATATGGTGGTATACTAGCCTGTACATTCTGCAGGGATGGAGAGAGTCAGGCCATTGATTCATTGCATGTAGGCTAAGCAAAGCTACCGTATTTCTATTAAATTATTATGTTAAATATATTCTTAATACATGTTTTTATTTTCCACCCACATGTATTAGAACCGCTCTGGAAGGCACATCTCTACAGGTATGCCCCAATAGAAATGTTTAACTAGCAAGCCGCTTTTAAAGCTATTTTAATGCTAGTCAGTGTCAACATCACCAAACTTTAAATTTAAAATTAGTGTCATCATTAGTATTTTGTTGGACAGTACAGCTGCTTGTCCCCATATAAACCTATGTCAGTTGGTCTCTCTGACTCTTGCTCTCCTGCTTTGCATTGTTTTTGTCACTCAAGCATTTGCCCTTTTCACTTGCTATTTGGTCAGATAAGTGCCCATAACATATAACTTCACTAAAAATTGCCATCACTTTCATGATGTCCCTTTCCAGATGACTTGATACACCTCCTAGCCAGTTGCTGTAGAAAACTCTGAAGCCAATGAAAATGTAATTAACATTGCTTTGAAGTTTTAGATTTCTAATATCCAGTATCCTGACATAACACTTGTAGTAAAGTTGTAAATATTTATACATATGTATTGTCTTGGTTAGAATGGATAAGATTTTTTCTTTTGCACCGTGTAACAAGAACACAGACGAGAGGGACAAACAGGCGAACATGAGAAGGGAAGGGCACGAACCCCATGGTAAATACACAATACAAATACAAAAGTATGTGTTTTACTATCAGTTCAGAGTCATAGTGAGCCATCAACTCAGTTTTTAGTGCCACAACAACCGGTGGTACATACTAATGTATTTGTCATGATATGTAATTCTGTTACTCAAAATGCTTCTTCACAGCAGGGGGCTTCTTTGTTGTTCTGCAATAACCTAATGTTGACATGTAAAACCACTGCTGATTGTAATTCAATCCTTCCTGCATGTGCTTCACAAAACAGGTAAATAGTATGAAGGTGGGGGCAGGATTTTTTAAATGTGAAACTAGAAGTTTTGATGGTGTGATTTGGGCTAGCTTATCACAAGCAAAAACAGACTTCTCCCCAAAACTAGATTTTCACATGCTCTTTTCAGTGATGTAGAAACATTGTGGGGCTGAAATAAATGTTTTCAGGTCTCACAAAGCTTGACAAAAGCAGCTCAGAAAGCAGCTCGGAAAACGAGGACTAATGTTGCGTGTCCTGTACTAACTCTTAGTAGCAAGGGTAAAATTTGCAACATGTTAACTTACACATAGAAGATTGATCCTGATGAGTTTTGCGGTATTAGTTTTACACATTTTAAATATGGGGAAGAGAGAGAGAGCATTGACATTTGATCACTACATGGTAGGGATCACTAAATTGCTTTGCAGTTGTAGATTTACTACATAACAAATGTAATGAAAATTGCGAGTTAACCCTAGAGTTTGGGTTATCGATGGCAATCTGTTTTCCTCTTTTGTAGTGTCTCTGAAAAATGCTATGGAAGGGGACACTAGAAAAAAAAATAGAAACAGCATGGTCTCAAAAAAGAGGTCACAGCAACCTTCTGTTTTATTTTCAACAGAAAACTACTGTCCTGTTATGTCAACAAAGTAGTTAACTAGCATTTGAATACTTCATCCCCAAGGTAAGGGTTCTGGATTTCATGACCTCTGTAATAGTCTAATAAACCCTAATTAGCAAAAGGCAGCTGGTTCTCAGTAGAAGGATCAAACTTTAGCTCTTGGACTTTAGAGTTATTTGGACGCTGTTAACACTTGTAGTTTTGGTTTTTTTTGCTACATAAGAATTGTCCTTATTTTGTAAGTGTAACTAAAAATTAAATATTTAGTTTAGATTACAATATTCTCTTAATAGAAATACCCCATTCTTTAATTCCTCCATGCTGGAGTGTCGCTCCATGCTAGCTAAGAAGGAACTAAGAGGGAACTCCGTGTCATTACATGCCAGCCAACAATGGACGTTTCTGTAATGCAGTCAATAAATAAAGTGCAATCCTATAAAATTTATATTGAAGAAACAAGTACATTGCAAAATTGATAGAAATCTTGTGTCAGGCATCACCCCTACAAATCACTACATTAATACTTTTTAGCAAACAAGCAAACTATATTTTTTTAATTCTTACATTATCTTGTAACTAAATACCCTGAATGTCAGACATCAGTACCAAAACACTGTAGAAGTGCAAAACAAACAAACAAACACCACAGTAATAGCCTACTTTATGAAAAAGAAGCAAAATAGCTTTTAGACTCAGGTTGAATAACTCATAAGACTACTTGGTGCATACCATTTGACATGGTGTGTATTTGAGAAAATAGTGTGGAATACTTTTAACTCATTAATTGTATAGCCTAATAATCAGCAACATGGTATCACGGGAAACTGTGTATATAGGCTATACTTTTTTTATGACTGCATATTTTCTAGGTTAATGGTTTTAGAGCGTTATAACAATTTACTTACTGCTCCTACTACTGCTGGTTGAAATGAGCCTTCTACGGTGTTCCCTTTTCCGAGGTCCGTTGTTCGGTATAGGCTCAGTCTGATTCAGCGGCGTACACGGTTCTGCTGGGTCCGGATGAATGATTTCCTCCGCTGTCAGTCCCCGCGCTTCTACCGGTGATCCGTTACGTGACCTCCCATCTGCGGCCTGACTGGAGCGCTCTACATCATCGACGGGTGATTCCGGGGACACATCCGGCTCATCGTGTTCCGGGGAGCCCGGTGTTATGTACGCTTGCGGTACCGAAGCCGAGGGCTGATCCGATTCCGGAACCGGACCGTTCTCCTCGTAATTGGTAGGGGAGAGACCCTGCATAAAGTACCGTTCACAATCGCTCGCACCATCTGTGGGTGTAATGAAAGAAAAGAGTACTGTTACCACATCTGCGTAAAAGTTTGTAAATAAATAAATAAAACCTACACACTGATTAAAAGTTAAGGTAACCTTACTTACCGACTTCTCCTGTGAGATCTACAACCTGCGCTGATGGAATGCCATTCTCCCTTGTAGAACCTATTTCCTCGCCTGAGTACAAATCTGTAAAAACAATATACAAAATACACATCAGGATAGTACACTTTTAAATTTAGAACATTTCTATTTCACTCTAGTACATAGAAGGCCCTCTTACCTTCAAGTTGATATTCGGTTGAATGAAGCCCATTGTCGATCAAGTCAAAAACTGTTAATTGAAAACACGCAGGAATGAAAATACAAAGTGTCGATTTTTGCTATTTCTTTAGTTGTGGAGGAAAGGCTGAATGCGTACCGTGTTCTCTTTGAAGGGTCATTGCTCTGGATTCAAGTCACTAGTGTGAAGACCTCTGGATTTCTGGTAGGGTACTTATAGAAGTAAGAAAACAAAAAAACACACGAGTGCTGCTCTGCATGTGGGAGATAACTGATGAGGGGTTGGGGCCGTTACTTCTGGTACAACCAGATTATTATTTAGTTCCAAACTCTTGTCTCCGGCTGATAAAAATAGCTTCCTGTTTCAAAAACGAACTCACGAACTCTGTCTGATAAAACCAGATCGTTTTTTTAACATCCGGAGTCTGGGTTATAGATAACCAAAGTTAATAACTGGTCTACAAGATTACCTGAGGATGGCAGCTAAACACACAACACGCCTCGTTGAGAAAACAGAGGGAGGTGCGGGGGGTGGAGCACATTCCTCAATTCACCCCACAGCCTATGCTACACCAGAATGAGAGAGGACAGAGAAGAAGAGACACAGACTCTAGAAGGATTAAAGTTTTAAGACTCACAAGTTTAAGACTAGGCTACAGCTTTGGAGTGATAATGATGGCAAGTTTGTAAGACAAAGCAATAGCAAAGTAATTTGGAACACTCTCTTATTTTGCTGCATGCTGTTGAAGGTAATTTGTAATGCTGTTTAATTTTTACTCACCGTTATACCATTTTACTGCTTTACTGTCATTATTTCAATTTATTCTTCACTTGTTTACTGATGGTAAGTTTGTCACACAAAGCTTTAGCAAAGATTTTGAAGGTAATTAAAAAATGCTGTTTAATTTTAACTCACTGTTATACTATTTTACTGTAATTATTTCATCTTATTCTTTAGTTCTTAAATGATGGTAAGTTTGTCACACAAAGCTTTAGCAAAGATTTTACAAAGTTTAATTTTGGAACTCACTCTTATTTTGCTGCATGCTGTTGAAGGTAATTTTTACTCACCGTTATACCATTTTACTGCTTTGCTGTCATTATTTCAATTTATTCTTCACTTGTTTAATAATAAAGACTGACTTGATTCCAAAGAAACCTCCTACTGATCCTTTGCTGGCCCCGGAGATTCCTCCTTTTACTTATAACTCACTGCTATACTTTTTTAATGATAAATTTATTGTCACAAACACCTCCTAGTTAATTCATTCAAGTTGTATTACTTAATAAAGTCTTTAAATCAATGAAAAACACACAATGGAAGGATGTACGCAACCCTCTTATCAGTTACATACAGACATCCGGTGGGGTGGGGGGACCGGAAATAGCTGTCAAAAATGAGTTTGATGGAATGTATTGGATACTTCTCTCTAGTCTCCGCTGTGATTTTCCTTCTACAGCCATAGCCGTCAAGAACTTCCACAAGATCATCAGAGTCAACTGCAGAGAAATCAGTCATTGCTTCCATCAGAACCTCACGTTCTTGGCTGCTCACAAACTGCAGAAAATGTGCTTTAAGATCACTGTACACACTGTTGAAAAGCACCTGTTCAAGGAAGGGGAGTGCCAGTTTGTTTGGCAAATACTGACAATCTTGGCAACCTTTCAAAAGGATTCTGCCAATTGCCTTCCATGTTTCAGCAGGGAAATCATGGCAAATGAAGGGCACTTTAACTGTTGTACCAAGTGTGCATCGATCGTAGAATTCATGCCAGAAACAGCTGAGAACATCTCTCAGGACCCCAGATCCACTTCCTGCTTCTTCTTTGTTGTCTGGAAGTATGCGTCTCACATTCAGTGCTTTGTTCAAAATCTCTGCATCAGAGAAAGCTGTAATCACGTCATGTAAAGTGTTAGCATGATGTATGGTGATTGTTATCACTTCTTCTGGATGAGCTGGACTGGGGGGTGTAAAAAAACCCTCATAGATCAAAGTGTCATCTGTGTCTTCTTCAACACTGTAGAGGGGACCAAAGGTAATTGAGTCAACAGACATATCTAGAGAACGCTGGACTCCATCAAAATCGCCCATGACATATTCTACTTGTAGATCTGCTGTATTGATTTCATTTCCACTGTGTGCTGAGACAAGAATCACTTCAGATGTCTCGCTGGTATCATCAAGTTCTTTTTGCTTTGTTGCAATGTAAAAGCGTAACATTGTCAGCCTTGACGTCTCATACATAGTGCCAATGGACAGGCAGGTGTCATCAGTGAGGCGGTTCTGTTTGAAGTCCCACACCTCAAACTCGAAATCTGATTCTGATCCTTTAGGAGATATTCCATCAGGAAAGAAAAGTTTCTTTCCTTCTTGAAGGATGTCTTTTAATCCAGCATTAATTGCCAATTTAACTTTTCTGGTGCCACCTCCCTGCTTTGCCCTCACCTGTCTGGCTACATTACCATCACTGTGAATCCATCCTATCTCTACATTTCGGGTTGTTTTAAGCTTCTTTGTCTGTGTTGATCTTGTGTCTGCATCTGATACGTTTTCCTTGGTGCCTTCCTTTCTGACTTTCATTTTCTCACAAAGTTTTTCCAAAAGTCCTTGTTTTCGCTTTGAGATGGGCTTTTTACTTTTGCAGAAATTGAAGAGGGCAATTCGGTCTCCATAGGAGGGGATGTAATTTGCCAGCGCTGCATCATCCATCAGCGCGACAACGTTGCTGTCAATCTGCACAGAAGAAAAAAAGAAAATACAATGTATAAATAATGTTAAGGTTATGCCCCTTAAATCAGTAAAAGTGTTAGTAGGAAAATACTGATCAAATATTTCAGGAAAGCCTTGTGTGCAGGAGTCAGTACAATAATGTAATAAAAAAACAAAAATTTAATCTCAGTTCAGGATGTAAGTTTAATATGCGTTTCTGCTACCATAGAAGGCTGGTAAAGTAGTTTAATAGTTGTTGTTTTTTGTCTGTTTTAACTGTGTTTATTGTTGATTTACGACCGGGAGTCCGCACAGGGTGTTTTATTTTGAAAATTGACCGGATTCTCTATGCCGTTCTGTGTCAGACTTCCTGTCCGGTTCATCTGCTCTGTGCTGCTTGACGAAGCTTCCGTCATAAATAGAGATGCAGCCAAACGAGTATCTCCGTGAAACGGCGGAGCGCTAAGAACTTGCTTGAGTTGTACAGTCTTAAGGAAAAACACACATTAAAACACCCAACAGCTTCAGTAACACGTTATATTCACCTGCTGTCCGCTTTGTGTGTGAGGAGCTGCCCTCGGACACAGTGAGCAGACAGGAGGACAGAAGCAGCGCGACTGGCTGAAATGTTGCCGCGTCCGTTCTTTTGTCAACAAACACAGACAACAAGAGTCACTAGTCACCGACTACAGATGCTCTCACTCGGTCTTCGAAGGCAGTTTAAAACATGATAATACAACCAAAATGTCAACAACACAAAAACCAGCCAATATTCTTGTTAGCTACCATATTAGCTATCAAAACATGCTAACTCGTGCCTGCATTACACATCCTTCATCCCCTTGAATTTCCTTTGTTTTTACAAACGCCATGCAACAAACTAACACATATTTCATTTTTACTCACCTTTTGTTCTTCCAGTAATGAAATGGCTTCATCTGGGACCCCTCCAACACGCAAAAACTCACTTAAATCCGACATCTTCGGTCAGTGTGTGGTTCCCGGGCTAATTTACATCATGCAAGTGATTCTCTCACATGGGACCTTTACAGGTACCCATACTTCTGACTTTAATCTCATACTTCTGACTTTAAACTCATACTTCTGACTTTAATCTCATACTTCTGACTTTAAACTCAGAATTCTGACTTTAAACTCATACTTCTGACTTTAAACTCAGAATTCTGACTTTAATCTCAGAATTCTGACTTTAATCTCATACTTCTGACTTTAAACTCATACTTCTGACTTTAAACTCAGAATTCTGACTTTAAACTCAGAATTCTGACTTTAATCTCAGAATCTCAGAATTCTGACTTTAAACTCAGAATTCTGACTTTAATCTCATACTTCTGACTTTAATCTCAGAATTCTGACTTTAAACTCAGAATTCTGACTTTAAACTCAGAATTCTGACTTTAAACTCAGAATTCTGACTTTAATCTCAGAATTCTGACTTTAATCTCAGAATCTCAGAATTCTGACTTTAAACTCAGAATTCTGACTTTAATCTCAGAATCTCAGAATTCTGACTTTAAACTCAGAATTCTGACTTTAATCTCAGAATCTCAGAATTCTGACTTTAATCTCAGAATTCTGACTTTAAACTCATACTTCTGACTTTAAACTCAGAATTCTGACTTTAAACTCAGAATTCTGACTTTAAACTCAGAATTCTGACTTTAATCTCAGAATCTCAGAATTCTGACTTTAAACTCAGAATTCTGACTTTAATCTCATACTTCTGACTTTAAACTCATACTTCTGACTTTAATCTCAGAATTCTGACTTTAAACTCAGAATTCTGACTTTAATCTCGTACTTCTGACTTTAAACTCAGAATTCTGACTTTAATCTCATACTTCTGACTTTAATCCCATACTTCTGACTTTAATCTCATACTTCTGACTTTAATCTCATACTTCTGACTTTAATCCCATACTTCTGACTTTAAACTCATACTTCTGACTTTAAACTCAGAATTCTGACTTTAATCTCAGAATTCTGACTTTAATCTCATACTTCTGACTTTAAACTCATACTTCTGACTTTAAACTCAGAATTCTGACTTTAAACTCAGAATTCTGACTTTAATCTCAGAATCTCAGAATTCTGACTTTAAACTCAGAATTCTGACTTTAATCTCATACTTCTGACTTTAAACTCATACTTCTGACTTTAATCTCAGAATTCTGACTTTAAACTCAGAATTCTGACTTTAATCTCATACTTCTGACTTTAAACTCAGAATTCTGACTTTAATCTCATACTTCTGACTTTAATCCCATACTTCTGACTTTAATCTCATACTTCTGACTTTAATCTCATACTTCTGACTTTAATCCCATACTTCTGACTTTAAACTCATACTTCTGACTTTAAACTCATACTTCTGACTTTAAACTCAGAATTCTGACTTTAATCTCAGAATTCTGACTTTAAACTCAGAATTCTGACTTTAATCTCAGAATTCTGACTTTAATCTCAGAATTCTGACTTTAATCTCAGAATTCTGACTTTAATCTCAGAATAAAAAAAAAAAATTCACACGTGGCCCTAATGCTCTTCCGCATAAAACAGTAGCAACCGGTGCTAAACATTTATCATGCCATGACAAACTTTGCATTAACCTATGATGAGATAAGATTGTATATCGTGTCACCATTTCATTATAAAATGTCATAGCAGTTAAGCATTTCTTACTAAATGGTCTTGTTTTGCTTACTTTTACATCTTCACCGGGAACAAACGTGCTGGCAGATATCTGGGTACTGCCTGATTAGCGAAAGAAGGTCATCCAGCTGCAGGCCTCCTCTCAGATGTTCCAACATAGGCTGCAGCCTCAGCGCTGCATGGAGTACAAAGGCACTACAATAGTAGACAGGAAAACAATTGCTACAAAAAAATACCTTTTATTAGTTTTACTGTACAAACAGAAATATATGTCTCAACATACCAAACAATGGACTGTTTTTGCACTGAGATCCAGTATTTCCACAATTTATGATTTCATCAGAAAGGCCTTCAATTGACTGTTCAGTTGACATTTCAACCTGAAAATATAAATTTAATTCACAGGAAGAAAATTTCTTTCCCATGTAAACACATGAAAATATTGTATACTTGATCAACGCAGCATTTCCTTCATACAGAGGTCATACCTGCTCAGTTAACGCTCGCGACTGGACATCTGCAGCTGCATCAGTGTTGAGAGTCGCCGGGTTTATCTGGCCACTACACAAGTAACTGTAAGTCCATGGGCTGAAAAAGGCAGGGGCCGGGCCAACTCGTGCCAAACTTACTGCCAAAATCTCTCCAACAGTCCTATTTACACAAATCAAGCATTAATGTTTAAAAAAACATTTCACAGAAAGAAACCGTTTGTCCCGACTTGTATAAAAATAAACCCACTTGTACAGACTCCTCTGGTGCTTTGGCCCCTCAAAGAAACTGCTCTCAATTCCTGCAATCATTTCTATTGACACAAGTCCAAACACAATAACTGTGTTGGTCTAGGGTCTCTTATGTCAAGTAATATTTTATTATCGTGTGAATTAACTATTAGCCATTTAATTTAGACCATATTACTTTAATTAGAATCCCAACCAAGATAATAAAAATGTATTTCTATTTAGCCATTCAGATCATTTCAGTAGGGTTTGTCTAATTTGGGTTGTTGTTTTATTAATTTTTGTACATTATAGAAAACCTAATACACAACTCGAGGACAGACCGACAGACAGATATTACTAATAAAAGTGTAACATTTCTTCATGATTTGGGTGAGACTGTTCTGTGGATTCAAATATGTTTCCTTTTGTTTTACCTGTGAGAAATTCTTTTCGGAGAGCACCTGTGTGAATTTTCTTTTGACGCTGCCACTGCAGTAGCCTCTCTCCAGAATGTTTGTTCTGGAGATTTGGATGTTGAACTGTTTCTCTAGGTCAACTCTTCCACACATCATCAACACTGCCAAACCAAACTTCGAATCAATAAATAGCTACTAATGTTGACTGCAAAACCTGCAGAATTAAGATCTGTGTAGGACGAAGATGTTTATGTATGTAGACAACACAGTATTCACCTTCTGATGTGCTCCTCTCCATTGTTCTGGCTCGCAGCAGGTGTCTCAGCCATCTTAAGATTGTCCTTTTCTCTACAAAAGCACATGTGAGACATGTTAGTACGAATAGAAAAAACAAGTACTCAAGTTACATATACGTTTAAAATGAACATAAAAGTACCGCAGGTGTCATGGTGTACAGGGGGGCTGTCATTGAAACTATCTGGATCTATCTGGTCGTTTTCACACGTCTAACATTGAAAATGGATATTTTATTACTACTTTTCTCCACCTGTAGCCTTGTAGAGCAGCCATCCACCTGTCCCTCCCTGCATCTTAGGGTACTCATTTTGCAGTAGTCTAAAGAACTAAGAGAACATAACTAAGGGATGATAGATAGATAGAAAGATGCACTTAATTTAACCCGAGGGAAATTCAAGTATCCAGTAGCATACGAAACATACATCCATTAAACATACATTAAAATAACTTATAACACAGTAAACAGTGCAGATGGAGGTAGAAATTGTTCTTTTGTCTATTGTCCTCCCTGCCATGACTAGGAGCTGATGTCTCAATGCTTGAAGAATATCCTACCACTAGGATAAAAGGGTCATGTTTTAAATATAAGACGTTTAGTGCAAAGTTTAATCTCTAATACCTCCTCGTGACTCATATCCCTGGACATGGTGAGATGTCTTTTTCAAGCCCTGCTTGAGCAAGTTCAGACTCTTCAGATGAGGTTGGGGTTGTCTCTGAATTTATGTTTAACAGGTAAACAGGTTTTTGTATATGGTGTGCTATAGGTCTTTGGACTCTGTAACTTTCTCTTTCCTAGGGAACTTTTTCTTGAGAAAAATCCAGGGAAAGATCTGCATGATTTAAAACTGATTTTATTTTTTTTATTATGGTCATAAATGTTCAAATAAAATATTAACTAGTTAAATTACTTTAAAATGAACTTGAACAATAAAATTCCATCTAAAACCTGGCCATCTCTTACAGATGACGATGTCCCTGAGAGATGTTGTGTGTGAGCACGTTTATAAGACTCTCTGTCGAGTTCTGACAAACAGAGGTTAACAAAGAAAATCCACGTTAAAGGCATAAAACAACTTGAGCTAGTTACTGAAAACACTAGCTAGCTTTAGTAGGATGAAGCTAACTTAGTTCATGCTAATCCAAGCGATGCTTCATTTCCAGCTTGGTCCACTTGTCAAACTCAAACGCATTTTCCCTTTATGTGTCCCTACGATAAAATAATTAGCCACTGTGGGATAATGTCACCAAAGAATATATTCAAAACGGCCCATATATTTCACATGTCTTACCTATGCACTGGTTGCCATGGCGCCAGCGGGTTGCCATGGCGAGTGAATACAGCGGTGCGTTCATGGTCGCACGTGTAAGTGGGAGAAGTTCATTCTTAAAGTGTAGCTGCTGAACTGCACAAACTGGCACAATTTATTGCTCATATAGTGTAATTGGTCCCACGTATTGTCCAAAACAGCTTTTTAAAGGGAACTTAGTCACTGGCATTAGTCTGTTTACTGCCAATCACATGCATATGGTGGATAGAAAGCATGGAGCCACGGTTCTCGCAGTGCCTACGTCTCGTGAAGGCGACATGACTGAGGAGAGTCTTCTTCCTTCTTTGTTAGACTGTCACTCATGATTCCACGCCCCTCTCCGTTGAAGCCACGCCCCCCACGCAAAATCGAGGCCAAAAGTCTGAAACTGAAAAATACTGATCTGAAACTGAAAAATAGATTTGAAAGTGAAAAAAAAAGATCTGAAGCTGTAAAAAAAAGATTTGATGCTGTAAAAAAAAATAAGCTTTGACTTTGAAAACATAAAACGTGGAACTGAAAAATAAAAGTCCTAAAATATCAAAATATGGAAAAGTGAAAAATAAAAACAAATAATTTCTTAAAAATACTTCCAGAAATAAATCAATATTTTATTTAAACTGAAAAAAATTGGCAAACTTATTTTTGGTTTGAGTACATGGTTGTATTTTTTAA